ACCCACCTGCACGACGACGAGTTTGTGGAGCTTGTATGCCCCATGTTCACACCTGGCAGTGTTTCACTCCTGCGAGAAGTATACAACTGGACGCTCACGGATATGGATGTGAATGACATAGATGATCAGAAATACATGCTCTGCAAGAGACTCTCAGAAGTAAGGCCCCTTCTTATCCTTCAGGCTTGTCGCACCGTGCTAATGATGACAGTTGGCGAACAGCCTCGGACTATTCATCGAGCAAAAGCCCCAATCGATACCAGATGGGAGCGACCTAACCGGCATATTCGGTTTCCTATACGATATCATGCGCAACCCGAGTCTCGTCGTCTCCATACCTGTTCTTCATTGTTGGACCAAGCTATTACGATCTAGCATCGTGCGAGACTCTGATGTCGTCAACTCCATGGTTGGCGGGCTACTTGAGACGTGCTGCGCCCGACTCATTCGATACGAATCGTTACCCGAAGATACCGAAGACGTTACGTTACAATTTCTCAACGAAGACATTGATACGGTACCGGAACGTCATGCTTTTCTAGGCAACTATCGGCGCTTCTGCGCAGACGTGATCGAAGTCCTGGTACGCAAGACACCAGTAGAGGCAATGGCGCATATCCTTGCTCAGGCGACGAACATGCTCCAGAACCTGTACCATGATCAGCCTGCTTTCCAGCGCCAAAACTTCACAAAGAACTCTCCACAAGTCCTTCAGGTCGATGCGCAGGTCACTGTCATCGAAGCTGCACTCAAGGGGTACATGAAGTGGCAGCAAGGGCAAGGCGAAAACGCGCAAGATGATGAGCGGACGCGGAATACACTGGAAGACTCGCTCGAGCAGTGGGGCAGGCAAATCCTGCAAGCGCATTTCGAAGATCCTGAAGTTGCGAGAAAGATAATATCTTTGATGGCAACTCTCTCAACAAAAGCCCTTGGCGACCGCCCAGGATTCGCTCTTACCTTCTTGGAGTATATGCTTACAGTACGGCTAGCCGATGACACGAACTATCCACAGTACTCCGATGCTGTGAAAGACCTCGAGCGCATATGCAGTCTTGAGATGCAGAAACTAGCGATGAAATTCGCTGACGACTTTATGAACGTCTACGAGCAACTAGAGGCCAAGGTCAATGAGATGATTAATGATCCTACGACTGACGAACGCCAACGTATGGCGTACTCCGCTTTCCTTTTCATCATCATACATAGATGTACAACATTAGAGCGCGCCACGCAAGAGGAGCGCATGAGACAGATGCTCAACCGTGTCAAGGATGCTTGGCGCAACGATGAGTTCACCCAAGCCATCTCTTCATTCCAGTCCTTCTGTGGCGTATTGGGAATGGGCCAATTACCCGAGTTTCTGTCTGCGAACAACTTCCGCGGCATTCAGGACTGGTCTGACCAACAATTGCCTAGTGATGGCCAGGCGTTGCAGGCCTCAATTCTTGACCGTTCTCAACAACTGCCACTACGACTTACTAAGACATTACTGGCAGCATCGACGGAAAAGCTTCGCGATGGCACTGCTGCGTACGAGACTGCTGCGCTACTCTGGGCAGAGGCCATACCAGTGCTGCTCCCAAACCTTCTCCAGCTTGTGAGCCATGCACAAGCATTCAACGATATCGACGCCAACTGGTCACACTTGCCAGTAGAACTACAGCAGGTTATTCGGAGAGTACTGACAGATCGGTTCTGGCAAGCGGGCATATCGACAGAGAGCCGAGACGACTTCTTTGCAAGAGTTAGTGGCTCCAAGTCGACGTTTGAGGGTTTTGCATCGACGGTACGAGGCACTGTAAGGCAGATTAGGGAGAGCTCGTACTACATCCTCTACTCGTTAACGCGATTTCGAGACTTCTTCTATGGGATAGAAGATCTGCCAGGCCCGTTGAGTCAAGCCCTGTTTGGCCACGCAGGCGCTCTGACTGCGCATCATCTATCTGTCTTACTAACCGTATCCACCCATCTCATTGAAGGTTGCCCAGCGCGTCTACGACCACATTTCCTGCCACCCATGATACAGGGGCTATTCAGAGAGCTGGATCGAAAAATCTCCGGAGAATGGAGCGAGGTTGCCCGACAGGTGGCGGATTCGGGGCAGAACGACAACTTGACGGACGAGATGAAGACCGAGAGCATACTGCGACAGCTCACATATGCTGCGGTTTCGCTTGTCGCTGTCCTGCTCGATTCGAGACAGGGTAAGTCGTCTATTACTTATCGTGCTTGGTGGTGTTCCTTTCGCGACTTCTATCTGCGTTGGGGTATCGGTTCTAGTACCGAGTCTCCTAATCGTGTTTTATGACTAAAAGCTGACCTGGTCACAGAATTTGCCCGTCACGATGAACACAGTCGAAAAGAAGCCAATGCACCGCCCATGTGCGACTTCATTCTCTCAACGCCTGCCGTCCTCGAGCCTATCCTCCTCTTCTGCAACTCAACAATACGTTATCGCGATACTAGGTCCGTTGTCACCATGGTCCGCGTATTGCGCACCCTGCTCCCACGGTTCAAGGAGAAGTCGCCCATTCGGGACTACTTCTGCAATGACATCCTCAAATCAGCCATTACGTCCCTCCATGAGCCATACTTTGTGGACTGCCAGAAAGAGCTCGCCTCACTCATCGCGGGCATCATTCACCTGGACGAGGAGATACCGCGCTCGATCATCTTGTCTCTACCCGGCATGGGTGACCAGTATCGCGTCGACCGCCGTCTTGCAAAGCTCCGTGGAGCGAACAGGTCGGACGAACGTATGCAGCGCAGCATCGTACTAGATCTCATGAGTAGCATCAAGGGTGTCAGTATTCACGAGCAAGGCAAAATACAGAGATCGACGAAGACCAAGGCCAGGACTATCATGATGGAGCAGTACATGAGTGTGGACCAACAGCCGACTATAGTCCGAGGTACCAGCCCCGGATTGGCAGGCGTGGCAGACATGTTCGGAGAGTCGTAAGCTTCCATGAGAAGCGGGCGTGTATAATTCTTGATGGTGAAAGGATTTGTGGTGGAACCAAAGGGCATCGGGTATGGGAGCATGGTCATGGGGCGGGTGGATCACCAAAGCATTCTAGGACGAAGGGTAGGACATGGGACATCTGGTATGCATAGCATTCTAAGGTTGGTGTTGGCCTGTTCTCGATGATAGCTTCGAGGAAGCATCACGTGCTTGGCAACAGTCTTCGCCGCAGTTTTACCCTATGCATCCTATAGGAGAAGCATGTATCGAGAAACACCTCACAATTCAGACGCATTGCGCTGACGCACGCTGATCCGTTACTGCATCTTGCGACAACTGAACGTACCCCGCATTGCCGATGACCTGACCCCGCCGCTGTACTACTGCGTGCTTGCCGTTCCTACCTATCTACCCAAAATAGAAGCAACCCGCGAGTCAGCACCTGCCTCTTTCTCTGTTCGTTTCTCCGTCACAACCACTTCTCACTTTCTAATCCTTGCCATCGACGAGATGAGCGGCATACCTATCGTCGACTTCGGCGCGTTCCTGCACGGTAAAGCAGAGGATCAGGAGAAGATCGCCAAGGAGATCGACGATGCATTCCGTAGTATGGGCTTTGTCTACCTGAAGAACCATGGCGTGAGGAAGGAGCTGGTGGAGGAGTGCTTTGCTTGGTCAAAGAAGTTCTTCGATCTACCGCTTGAGACCAAGATGCTGGCTCCGCATCCGCCGGGTGGCAGTCATCATCGTGGATACTCGGCGCCTGGAGTGGAGAAAGTTAGTCAAGGGGTTTATGATATTAATGAGCTGAACAAGCTGAGGGAGGTTAGTTGCATTCATCTTCGCTCTCCATGGTATAAGCTAATGAGAGGCAGACGCCTGATTATAAAGAGTCCTTCGAGTCTGGCAACGTGAAAGATGAGGCTCAGCCAAATATCTGGCTTCCAGAAGATAAGCTTCCGGGCTTTCGCGCATCCATGGAGAAGTACTTTGTCGAGTGCGCCAGTCTAATCCACAGCATCCTCGGCGCTCTCTCCATTGCTCTCAACGTTCCAACGCCAGGCCTCTCTCCGACCCATTCGCAGTCGCTCTTCCAACTCCGGCTTCTTCACTACCCCTCCATCGACGCCGAACAGCTACGCAATAATGAGCGCAGCAGAATCAACGCACATTCCGACTTTGGCACGCTCACTTTGCTATTCCAGGACAACGTTGGAGGACTTGAAGTACAGGAACCTGCGAACCAAGGTACTTTCCGTGCTGCAGAGCCCGTCGAGGACACTGTGTTGGTCAACATCGGAGATCTCATGGCGAGATGGAGCAACGATCGTTGGACAAGCAGTGTGCATCGTGTTGGCCTACCTCCGGTCCTTCAAAAGGTCACTGAAGACGGTGAACGGAACGACAGGGAGATAGTAGTACCAGATCGCTACTCAGTCCCTGTGTTCGCGACACCAAATATGGATACAGTTATCGATGCGTTGCCAGGTTGTTGGGATGAAGAGAAGCCGAAGAAGTACGAGCCTGTAACCGCGTGGGGATACGTACAGATGCGGATGGCTGCGTTGTATGAGTCGTGAATAGCGTGGGATGATCGCTGCCTTTTGTGGAAGAGATGCGTCTTGGTAAACCCTCCTCCAGAGCGACCTGTCGCATGGTGACACGCCGCATGCGGGCCTTTTTACGCGACTGACGTACAGCATTAGGCAGCAGAGCCGAATTCTCTCACGTCCACAATGGTTGCAGGCTTGACTAAGCGGTACAGTACAATTACGTGCCTGTTATCAGCGGTCTGCTGTGGTTCAGATTCAAAGGTGAAAGGTAACCCCGCAACGCGCACGTGAGAACGCATCTTGCCCAATCTGTTAGCGCCATCCCCACTTCCCCAGTCAGCGAGCTCGCAGCGACCTGTAGCTTCCTGCCTCACATTGTCTACTCTTTTGCCTTAATTCGCGCGACTTTGAGGTGCCAATAAAGCTTATCACTCACACGTCTGGTGGGCCAGCCTTTCGAGGTAACACCGTCGTTCAAGATGGACATCTACATTCCTAAAGTAAGCTCACAACACTACCTGAGCTAGTAATCGCTGGGCGCGAATAGGAAAGCAGTCGCTAACCAGATGCCGTAACATTAGGTTCCCAAAGATGCCAATCACGTCCTCTTACGTTACACCCTTCAGGACGCTCTCCACAGCGTTGACGTGTTCGCATTCGACATTCGAAAGTTTTCCAGTCAACATAATGATTTCGCCATTCTCACTGTACCGAGCGTTAGCAGTGGGAATCGATTTCTGGATATACGCGGTAGTCAGGGCCGACGCCAGGCGCTGCAACCTCTTTATTTTGGGAATCAGCCGCTCGACTTTCGCCAGAGTAACAAGCGTCGGGAAGATCCGCTCCAACTCAAGTCACTCAGAGAGAAGCAAGAGATAGAAGAGGCCAAAAGATTCAAAAGTCCGGCGCCTATCGCGAAACTTCAGCGTCCGGGAGGGTCGACTTTGTCTTTCCGTACCCTGATGACAGGCGTCTGGGATTACGATCACCTTGGCAAGCTCGTCTTTGACCAGAAGCTCAAGGATAAAAGGCAAGGTTACATTACGTTCGGCAAGAATGCTTTAGTGGTAGGCATATCTTTCTACATCGAACATGTCAATGCCAACACGGCTGCTTACCCACACAGATTTACCTCCGGGCAGAGACCGCCGAAGCCTTCAACTGGCATTGCAGAATTGATATTGATTATGCTACCATAGAGCACATCATTCCGTCTCGCGGCAATGGCCAACACGGAACGATAACATTCACCCTCAAGTCTCCACCGAAGTTCTACGACATTCAGTCGACCAATGATCTACACTTGTATGCCGGTGAGCAAGCACCGAATGACATCTCTGCCGCATTGTCGAGACTCGGCATCAAGCCGCCAAAATCAGTTCTTCGGCTACAGAGACTATGCAAGTTGAGTAACTCCCACAACATGAACTCCGCTTTGTGTATGGTCTACAAGATCGCCTTCTTCGACACCCGAAGCGTTGATCTCGCTTGGACCTTTGTTAAGCCCTTCTTCGCGGGACCTAACACAAAGTGGTTGAAGACCATGGAGCCCACCGTTTTGACGGGCAGTATTGAACACGAGTATGCGGTCGTCAACAAGATGCTTAGCGACTACGGACCATCCTTTCCGCAGACCTTCACGTTCAATATACGTTACCAATTGACAGCGCTCATGCTAGAGGGTGCAATTGCCCCGTGGAAAATGAAGGAATTGATACCAGTAGTACAAAACGCTGTTGAGAAGCATGGTACAGAACTCACCGCAAACGCAGTGCGTCTCCTTGGGAAGCGGATACCGACGCCTACACCGGGGGTTAAGGCGACAGATCTTACTGTAAACGCAATCAGTCGCCGAGGAAAGCGAATACCGACACCCGCACTAGCTGTTGAAGCGAAAAGCTTCATGATCAATACTATTAAGCGCATTCTTGATGAAAGCATCGAATGTTGTGAACGTCTTGAGGAACTTTCCCGGACTTGGGACGTCAAACAGAAAAAGCAGAACCACCTCGCCTTAACGTACAAGGCCACGGTCACGCCTACCGGTATGTAGACTTCCAATACTCCAATTTGCACAACTAAAGCCACATTTCAGGTATCCTGCTACGCGGTCCTGACTGGGTCGTCTCCAATCGTATATTGAGGAAGTACAACACCCACACCCAGTTCTTCATGCGCGTGTTCTTCGCAGACGAGGACGAGCTGCCGGTATTCCATGACCCACGGGCATCGCAAGAGAGAGTTTACGAACGCTTTCGAGGCGTACTCCGAACCGGTATCACGGTCGCCGGACATACATTCCAATTTCTCGGCTTTTCACATGCGTCACTCCGTACTCATGAAACTTGGTTTATGGCTCCTTTCAAGAAAGATGGTATTTTCGTCTGTGCAAGAGATGTGTAAGTACGTACGATTTGCGTGTGGGACATGTACTGACTTCATCAAGCATTCGCGATTTGGGTGACTTTTCCCAGATTCGTTGCGCTGCAAAATGCGCGGCGAGGATAGGGCAGGCGTTCTCCGGTAGAGTTCACTCCGGCACCAAATGTATGTGAGATGTGTGCTGACATTGTACATCGACATCTAGATACAACATTCTCGGTGCCGATCCCGAAAATCGCCTATGTAAACGAAATGAAGGACGACGTCACGAGAAACAACCGCACATTCAGTGACGGCTGCGGAACCTTGTCATTGAGCCTCTTTCAAAAAGTTTGGAACGCCTTCCAGCCGGACCGTAGAGCACTCAGGCCGACGGTGCTACAGATCCGGTTCAGAGGTGCGAAGGGCGTACTATCACTAGATACGACATTGCAAGGTGAGCAACTGCACGCCCGAAAGAGTATGACCAAATACGTCGCCAAAGAAGAGTGGAGGGATTTGGAAATCTGTGGAGCTGCCTACAAGCCTCTCAGAGTGTATCTGAACCACCAGTTCATCAAGATCCTTGAAGATTTACGTATACCTATGGAAAACTTCATGGCGGTCCAGGATGAAGCTGTCACAGAACTGAAACTCATGACGGAGCATCCTCTGAATGCAGCCAGCCTTCTCGGTAAGTTCCGATTTTCTAGCACATGCTGTGCGGCCTGAAAGGATGTTTGGTTCCTCATACCCGGCGGCATCGCCATGAACTGCTTCCCGAACATAGGGTCATATGTGCTAACAAGCCTGCTAGAATACTCCCACTCGGGTGATCTTGCGAGAGTCCCGTCACTGTTTCGGCGAATGAATGAGATGGGTCTATCATTCCACGCGGACAGCTTCCTCACCGACATCGTGGAGGTGGCAGCTATGTCAAGCCTGAGGGATATCAAATATCGCGCGCGTATTCCAATCAAGAACGGCTACCTCCTTTATGGCATCATGGACGAATGGAATGTTCTGAAAGAGGGCGAGGTCTACATTCCGCTACAAGATTACGATACGAACGACAAACTGAAGAGAACCATACTCGTTGGCGAGCGAATAGCCATCACAAGAGCCCCTGCGCTACACCCAGGCGATATTCAGGTCGTCAAAGCAGTCGACGTTCCAGAAGGTTCGCCGCTCAGGGCACTGCACAACTGCGTCGTATTCTCACAGCAGGGTCCGCGGGATCTGCCTTCGAAGCTAAGTGGCGGTGATCTCGACGGAGACCTTTTCCACATCATCCACGACACTCGATTGATCCCGAGAGGCGTTTATCAACCCGCCGACTACCCTTCCACGCCGGCAAAGGATTTGGGGCGGCCGGTAACTGCCGACGATATCATTGACTTCTTTATCGAATACATGAACATGGATCGATTGGGACAAATTTCGAACAAGCACAAGATCCGCGCTGATAAGGCTCCTGCTGGCACTCTGGATCGAGAGTGCCTGCTTCTTGCCAAGCTCGCATCCGACGCCGTCGACTTTGGAAAATCCGGAATACCTGCCAGCATGGCTCAGATACCTCCAGGTGGTGATCACATCCGCCCCGATTTCATGGCTCCAGGATCGAACCTTGTCGTCAACGAATTGGGCGCAGCTGAGCTCGAAGAGCTCGAGGGCGACGACTTCGACGAGGTGAGTGTGCTGAACGCTGAGAAACCAAGAAGTTCATATTACACAAGCACAAAGATCTTAGGAGTTCTGTATCGACGTATCGACGAAAAAACGTTCTTCGATAAGATGAAGAACGCCTACCGAACATCTCACCATCGCCGGGGTGATGAGACGCTGGTGCAGAAACTCAAGCGATATGTGATGCGAGAGACCCGTGGAGTGCAATGGGAACATCATTGGGATTTCGCAGAACAACTCCGTGAAGCGTACGAAGAGAACATGTTCGAAATCATGGACACACATCATCCGTCTCGAGGCTCACGTCTTACCGAGCTTGAGGTGTTTAGTGGTAACATCCTTGGCAAGAAAGATCGTGCACCATCCCGCTACGTCCGCGAAGCCAACCTCGAGGTTCAAGAACGCTTCAACCGAGATGTCAGCGACATGATCAAGAATATAGTAATGGGTGATGGAGACTGGGACGGCGATGCAGATTCGGAGGCGCTGCCGCGCTCCATTGCGTGCTTCATGGTTGCGCTGGAAACGGATGGTTGGGAGAACTACCGCACGTTAAGGAGCTGGAAGTACGTTGCTGCCGCGGTGTGCTTGGAGCAGTTGTGGAAGTACAATAACGGGTATTTGCGCCGACTTTGAGTAGTGGCGTAGTGCTACGTCTTGTACCGGCCTTCCAGTGGAGAGGTGCTCGGTTATCACGACTTCATGAAGATACCGCGCAAAAGATGCGCTGGAAATATGGTGGTACCATTAATTTGATGAGTCCAACGTGTGATGCGATGTGATGCAATGCATGGGTGAGGAGTTGCTGAGGACACCTTCAGGGAGTACTGCGCAGGCCCCTTGCGCGCAAACTACGCCCAAAGACCTAAGCGAATCAGCGTTTTGGCTCACACAGAAGCGGTTAAAGGGGCCAATGCTTGCCTCTCGCGTTGGAAAAATCAAAGAACACGCTTGAGCTCTACGATACTTTTTATGATTTTCGAATGTTTGTGTGCCCAGGTGTCGTCGCGTCGCATTCCAGCATGCCGCGCAGTCGCGTCCGCGTTCCTGAAGTTTCCCACATCAGCCAACTAAAATTCCCAGCCACAGAACCCAGCCATGCCAGGCCCATCCACGACCCTGCGCCCCCCAACTGGCTGACTGAGATCCGGTAAGCCCGGGTGCCATCACCACATGGCACCACGAGCCTACCCCGCATCCTGCCCATTGGTGTTGGCCGCGTGATACTTGCTACCCAAGCCAAACCCCCTCAAAACCATGATTTCAGGAAATATAGATGCATAATCTGAGCTTTCTCTCATCAAACGCTCATCCATCTGCTTACGTCATGTGACGGTAACAGCAACATCTTCGATGGTCTAGTGGTCATGATTTCCGGTATGAATGAGGAATGCGAGAATGTCGTGGACCAATCAAACTGACAGTCGTCACAGCTTGTCAAATGTTCACGAAATGTTTACAAGCGCGGGAGACCGGGGTGTATGTGCTACCCAATTCTTGATGGGTGTTTTGAGCTTTGTCTAATCGTGCAAACAGTCGATTCCCCGTCGGAGAGCTTATTAGCTACGCGCCTTTTTTTGAGGAGAGGGGTGGAATGATGGGGGTTGAGAGGTGCGTGGCTTGAGTAACTTTTTGGGTAAAGATGCGGGGTCGGGTGATAGGGTGGATGATCCCGATATCGTCAGGTTATGGTGATACTACTACGCTTTTTGCATTGAAAGTACGGCTACGGCCTCGTCCGAGATAAGTAGAAATATTTCTGAATGCAGAGGATAAATTGTTGCTTCCTGACCTGAGTGAACAGTATGCCCCCTCAACTTGCCGGGAAACCTGCTCGGGCCATCTTCTTGCCCCGTTGAGCCTTCCGATTATGGTTCGCACTTGAACCCTTGTTGGCCTCCTTGCGCTGCCGTGATATTTGCGTACCTTTGTCGTCAGCAGGACCTGCGACGCTGGCACCACCTCGTCCACCACCTGGGCCACCACGTCCGCGCCCTCTACCTCTTCCTCTACCGCCGCCGCCTCTTCCACCGCGACCTCCTTGCCCATCACCACTCGCTTCGTCGCCAGACCCTGCAGGGCTGTCCCGCCATGCTGTTGATTGAAGCTCTCGCTGCTGACCCTGGAAATTGGAAAATTTCGCTTCGAGCCGCCGCAGTGCACGAGGATTGCGACCCATCATGATGGCCCAGCCTTCGATTGCTTCGTCGGTCATACCAGTCTCGCTCTTGAGGGCTGTTCGAGCTTTTCCTCTCCTTATCTCTGACTCGCGGCCAAACAATTCAGGTGTCATGGTGTAAGCGCGGAATAGGGCTTCTTCATTCTTGTCACCCAAGTCGGCATCCTCGCCAGGTCCGTGCGCGGCAGTGTCGACAGAGGCGCCAACGTCCTCTGCATCGTATGTGTCATCTCGTTCGTCGTCGTCTGAATCGAAGGCTGCCAACGCCGCCATGATTGCTGATTTGGCGGGTGCTTTACTGCGGTCGGACAAGATCTTATCGGCGGTCGAATCCTGACCTCTGCGACCAATATGGAATCGCGATGTATCAACTACAAGCCTGTCAAATTCGTCGTCGTCAAATACATTGCGCCGTTCTGGAAGGTGTTGGCTCGATCTGGGTGGTGGCATTGGCTGTGACGATGTCGCCGGTGCAGGCCTAGCATATGTTAGTAACTCTGACTTGAGCCGTGAGGGTGTGAACCAGAGAGGAGGTACTTACAGTTTCTCGCTCCGATCAGCCTCGATAAGGTGTGGCGGTAACGAATCTTCCAAAAGATGTGCGGTAACCTGCTCGATGTCGTCGTTGTACTCATCCAAGCACTTGACAATGAAGCCTGCACCCAAGTCTGGAAAGAGATCCTGGATCTGGCTAATCATACTCATCCGGTGAACGTGTATCTCGCCGGTGAATGCTCCGTGGCCATAGCTATCTTGATCTGCTGCTGCTTTGCCTTTGTCTACCTTTCGTCGAATCAGCCTCTTCGGCCGAGCTAGACTAGACTGCCGAAACGCGCTCAATGATGCTGCAGTGTTCTTTACTCTTGTTGCTTCCGGAGTAGTAGCCTTTTCTCTTATCTTTTCCAGTAGCGGTGTGTTGGTGACAAGATCGGCAACCAACGTCTTCTTACCAGGCTCCTTCTTCTGATCTTGCCCCTCACTAGACTTCAGGCTGTACAGATGATCAGAGAGCAGCGAATAATTCGGTTTTGGACCTTCTAACGCGGCTGTTAGACCAAGGTATGCAGTCGTGACTAGCTTCTTCTGCATCGATTGAGGAACTTGTGGGTATGCGGAAAGGAGAGAGTCGAGGAAGTCGGACCCTGTGAGCATGAAAATGCTGGCATCTGACGAGGCTCTGAGAAGAGGTGCGATCCGATCAAGTGTCTTTTCGGCCTCCTCCGGCCGCTTTGATTCCAAGTTCCGGATTAGGGACGTTTTTGCTGTCTGCAACGACTTCTCGATTGCCGCACCTTTTCGCTTCCATGACCCTTGCAAGAGCGTACGGAACTGCTCGCTCTTGGGATACGCATGACAAATGTCAGATAGGGTGGACCAGCTGAGCAAGTGACTGGGTATGTCTTCTTTGGAAAGGATTCTGTGTAATAAAAAGAAAGTCTTCTTCCGTAATGACGCAACTTTGGATGCTAGCTCATCATCCAGGGCCAGTTCATGAAAGAAAGACAGGAGAAATTGCGTGAGCGAGCTCTCCTCTTTGGTCGCCTCCGAGAACTTTTGGTCCTCTAATCTCAGATAGAGCTCAGATAACGAAGCCCACGAATCCAGGTACAACTGCCATTCGTCGGGCAGTATGCTCTTCCTGACTTTTGCGTCTGGGAATGGCGCGAAGTGGGGTAGCGACATCTCTGTTGGTGATGTTGTAAGACGAAATCCAGGGCCGGGCTCAGAAGTACAGTTCACTGTATAGGGAACGCGAGAAGTGTTTAAAAGGTTCAATTTCTGTTGTTTGTCTGCAGTCATGCAGTCATGATGGCTCATGGGCCCGCCTGCCGAGCGATCAAAAGGGAGCGATACCAGTTACGGCACTAGCGTCCGCAATCTTGGCGCGCATCGCCCACAGATCGAAAATGCGCATCGCGAAGAACTTGACGACTCCGAACGCCGTCGCAAATTCTAACGCCACCCCAGTCATCACATTACCGCGATCAAGGATCCAGGTCGTGACTGGAATCTAACTCAGAATCTACAAAAACACCACACTCCAATCCGACAAGATGTCTTACAACAAGGGCGAGAAGGACTTCGGCGAGGGCCCCAAGATCCACAAGGTACGTCGCCGTGTGTTCTAAGCGCACGAGGCTGTGTACTGACTGCGCTTCTAGATCCGCATCACCCTCACCTCCCGCAACGTCAAGAGCCTCGAGAAGGTCTGCCAGGAGCTCATCGACCGTGCCAAGAACAAGGAGCTCCGCGTCAAGGGCCCCGTCCGTCTGCCCACCAAGCACTTGAAGATCACCACCCGTAAGACTCCTTGCGGTGAGGGTTCCAAGACCTGGGACACCTACGAGATGCGCATCCACAAGCGTAAGTGCATACCACTCCAGACAGTCGGTCGGACAGCAGCTAACTGCGGACTTAGGCCTCATCGACCTCCACGCTCCCACCGAGGTTGTCAAGCAGATCATCATCAACATCGAGGCTGGTGTCGAGGTTGAGGTTACCATCGCCGCATAAGGGCTTGGTCCGCACAAGGATTATAAAGGAGTGTCAACGGTCTGAACAGACGTGTGGCTATGAAACAGCTCTCGAGGCTGGACATACACGAAATGAAATGATTCAGACATGACCGCGTACTGCATTGGGATGTGGCTTTGACCGTGAGAGGCTTCTATGGGCTATCAACGACAGCCGTCACAGTATGCAGTCCACAGAACAAAGAAGGCATGAGCCAGAGAGCTAGAAGATGCTTCTATGGTCGACCAATATGTGCCCACTGACAAAGGCCCACCGAAAAGAGTTGCACTCTTCTCGAATGGGAGTCTCATCATCTGCATGTTCAACAAATCATTTACGTATAAAACGTGTACCCGCCACTCTTTAGCTCAACCACGATATCCCAACCTTCATCTGTGCCTTTCACAAGCCAGCACTCTCAGGAGGGCCGAGTAGAATTAGACCATCAAGAAGAATAACGCCGAGTGGTAAGTCGTCCCATCCCATCCTATCGCCCGCTTCAAAGTCTGCCACTATGGATAACAATAGATTAGAGCTCTGCTTGGGTCATTCGCGCTCAAATTGCACATATTAGACTCACATCTGCTAAACCAAAACGCGATTTGGTGTCGTGGATGTCTTAAACAACCTACTAAACCATGCTCTCTTGCCAGGTCATCTAAAGCGTCCTTCAACTTCGGACTTCTCATGTTTACATGTACTCCGTCGCCTTGAAAAGTGTCGTCTGGCTTATACATCGCTAGCAAGGTGACCTGACGATCTTCCGAGGATGCGAGATAGGTGGGCCTGGCTTCTACAAAAGCTGGATCGCAACCTTCGTAAAACCATATGTCCCAGTCGCGCATAAGACTTTGACACGATTCTTTTAGGTTATGGTCGGTCACGGACATTTTGAACTTGGGTAGACACGTAAGAAGTGGGAAACGACAAGTGCGGGATATATAGTTGACTATAAGTCCATGATAGCACGGCGTGAGATGGACCCATGACTAGGTAGGCAAACATTCTACTTAGTTCGTGTAGTCTGTGCAATTCTCTTCCATTCCAGGGAAGCGCCAGCCGTAATGAAGCCTTTTCCAGGTGCATTCGTGTCGCACTTGCAGGTGTCACCAGTCCATATGCACCTGCCATCTTCCGGACAGTAGCTTCTCACACCGCCAAACGCTCCGATGCTAGTATTCAGCGATCATGAATCAGTCATCGTGAATAAGTAAACGAGGTGATGAGTTGTTGAAAAGGCGTCCATGTGCCCCGGGTCTCGCATCATTTTCAGGAAGTACTCAAGACTTCTTTCCTGTATATCTTTGAATGCATTTTAAGTGTACTATCTACAAATGAGTGTGTCTCCAACCGCTGTCTCAAAGTCTCAAGAGCATTCCCGACCAACAACCTTGTCAGTCACATGCTCGTCTCGCAACAAGAGCCTAACCTGCTTGTTCCAGGGACGTAGGCTCATACTTCTTATCAGCCTTATCCCAAGCCCAAATAACCGATAGAGGAATCATCGTATCCTCGTTGGTGACATCAGCTTTGCCACTTGTGACTATTGTCGCAAAGTCAGAAATGCGAGTTTAGAATTGCAGGAAGTACTGAGGGATACCTACGTATTGCGAACCACATGACAACTCTTGCACCGTTGTCGTGCACACAGTCCTCGACTCCCTGAAAGACACCTTTGTTGCTAGCCAATTCCCTCAGCTTATTGAGGTTGTTGTGCGCGCGCAGATCATAGGATATCCCGGTGCGGCCCTCTTGGTCTGGGTCGTCGGGGTGGGGATAGTGAGCCGCTATGAGACACACGTTGCGTTTGTCTGAGTGTGGAGTGGCAAGCTGCAGTATGAAATTCGGTTGCTTAGGGACCCATGCTTCCGAGGCGTCTTCCGGGAAGTTGCCGTTGAAGTTGTCATCTGCCATTATTTCGACGCATTGCGCCTTGTGAGATTCGGCTTTGAAGGTTAAGCTTGATGCCATGACTTCGATGTAGTAGGTTTTACTAAGGGATTGGGAAGAGATTGACTTGTCGCTTTTGTCTTTCCGAGGGTGGTAAAGGAAGAAGCTGAAAAGAGCAGCAGATCGGCTTCTTTTATGCTCTTTCCCGATGACTCTTATGCCAGTGATGATGCGTCGAAGGACTATGACATTACGGTGGGTGGCACATAAGTCCTCATTATCCACGGACCTGTCGTCATCCCGCTGCGCACGTCTGTCCTCATCTTCTTACGGCAACTTCACCTTGTAGACCACAGCGCACTCTCGATGTTCAGGAAAAATTTCAAATGGTAGCCTGTCAAACTTCAACGCCTTGAGTGTTGGCTTATCACGGCGGCATGAGAGACCCTAAGGCCCACATCACCTTGCGTACCTGCATATCACAAGTGTCATAGTAGAGCCAGGAAGATGTCGCATCGTTATACAACAGTAAGTCTCGACGATAAAAACAGGTTTGCAGACTTCAGCATCATCACCATATACAGACATCAAGACGTTGAGGTGTCCAGGTGACTACCAAGACCTCACAGACATCACATATCATAAGTACTTAATAATTATAGAACCAGTTTTACTATCGTGTGCTACTTAGCTAGCTATGAACTTTGATGACAGTTTGTCATATCTCCGTGAATCCTTCCCATATTATAGTACATGCATCATGAAAAGAGTGAAAAGTGAAGAGAAACCATGGAGAACTACCAAAACCTCTTAACCGGTGCCATTGCCGTTGCCGTTGGTGTTGCCATTGCCGTTGGTGTTGACAGGCGTGTTGGTGGGGGCAGGGGGTGAGGTAGGGGGGTTTGCAGGAGGGACCGAGGGGAACACGCGACGCTCGATATAGCGGATAGTGTTGTTCGGTCCGAGGGCGAAGAGGGGTTGAGGAGGGGTGTCAGACATGATGGCTAGACAGTCGAGAGACTTGTGCTAGTTTAGTGTTTTCGGTTTGAAAGTTGACGGATCAGGTGCGAGCCCTTGTGCCACCAGGTCTTGAGGCAGTCGATGATGCGGTGTTTGCGGTAGTCAACTGCTCTCATGCCCTCCGCGTCACGGAAGGTATGGCGGTTGGCGGTGGTGGATGACGTGAAAGCTTGAGCTTCACCGGCACGATCTTGGAGGAATGAGGTTGTTGACTGCTTGGTCGACTCGGGCGAGGCGAGGTCTTGTGCGTTGGTCTTGCTTCGACCAGCTCGAGTGTTTGATTGGCTGTCAAGCGTAGCTTTGCGAGTTGACGAAAAGCGCTTACGGAGCGAGAGCCTAGTCTTGCGTGTGGTGTCGTAGTGCTCGTCGTCAGAAGTGTCAGAGGCTGACAGGTGGTCGCGGAAGATAGCTGTAGGAGGTGACAGGGCAGAGGTGGGGTAGCGTTCACCGACTGCGTGTGGCTGGTCGCTGTTGCGGCCAAAGGTGCTGAAGCGGTGATGACGCGCGTGTGCGGTGCTATCGGCCGGTGATCCGAACGGGGAAGCTGTGGCTGTCTGCGCTGTCGAGAAGGAGCTTGTGGTAGACGCGTCAGAGAGTCTGTTGCGGAGGTGGGAAGGGCCTGGGTGAGGAGAGTGTCTCGCAGCAGCTGGACGAGGAAGGGAGATGTCAATAGCGGGGTTTTTTGACGTCGCCCAGGGATAATTCTTGTCTGAATTCCAGGGACGCGTCTCGGTTACTGTGGGCGTAGAAACAAACGACCTCAGAGACCTTCTTACGGAAAGAGCGGACTCCCCTGAGATGCGAAGCTCTTGAGGGCCGACGGTGTGAGAGCGCGGACGGAGAACAGCTGGTGATGGGACTCGCAGCTCTGGGAGCGGAGTCGTCTTGTCGTATGTTGGTGTGCTCGGTGCGTCGTCGTCCTTGGAGGGCCTGCCTGTATTTGAGTCTGCCTCGCTAGCGCCGTTTACACCGACTCCATCGTCAGGACGGCCTGGACTGCCTGGACTGCCACATCCCCTCTCTTTGCTTGTGATCTCGTCATACAGATCGTCTTCGATAACAACCATGTGCGAGACGCCACGCATGGGGCGAAGTCGAGCAGACGAGCGCTTCTGCGTCGGATGGATCTCGTGGATCTCCTCCAATGCGTGCTTCTCCATCTCCTCCTCAATCGGAAACTCGGCTGGCTCACCGCACTTGTAGTATTCCCTCAACGACGGGAAGATCTCTGAGAGGCGCTGGGTAAGCCCCCCGACAGAAGGTATGGTCAGCCGCTCAATCTCTGCCATGAGCTCCGGTGAACGAGCACGGTGCATCGCGAACAAGTTGATCATGGCGGTAGGCTGCATTGACAACCCCGAGCGCTCCGCTTCATTCAATTCGGCGAGAGAAAGGCGCAGGTCCGTGACATCACCCGCTGATGCAGGCCGCGGACTACCTCTGCTCACCCTCTGCGACGCATTGGGCACCTCTTCCATTGACCTTGAGTAGCGAAGGCCAAGGTCCTCGGTCAAACCATCGAACAGATTCATCCGACTAAACCGCATCGAAGGCAAACCGTGTGCCTGTCCGAGCGCGCTGCCCACGTTGCTACCAACAGCACTCCGACGATGCGACGCTATAGACGACCTTCCCGAGAAGTTGATCGGTTCCTCTCCCGAAGCCCTGACCCCCGACGGCGCGCCGAACGGAAAGCGGTAACTCGAGCTCTTCAGGTTGCTGGCACTCGTGTTGAGGCTCGAGTCTTCATGCGACTCCTCCTTCAGGTCAGGCAGATAACGCGTAGGGCCAGGATACCTATATCCGGATAATCTGAGGTCGGTCGTAGTATTCTCTTGGATGTTGGACAAAGGACCCGATCCCAAAGAATTCAATAGATTTCCAACACCGCTCAGAGGGCGTAGCGACACCTGCTGGAGGCCACCACCGTGGGAGGAAGGCCTATATCCATTCCAATCGAGGTGTGTCGTAGTCTGGCTGTCACGATGGCCAGGCTCTTGGGCTACCGGAAGTCCATCCGCGGAGTCTACACATGAGCCTGAGGAGGTGTCATGGATCGAGTACACAGAGGAGGGCTCCAAAATCGCAGGAACCGGGCTGTCGATTGGTTGCGCAACAGGAGCCGGGCTACTACCGGGCATCTTGGATGGGTTGCAAGCTTTCGGAGTGTCGAAGCTGATAGCTCGCGTCTTCGCAACAGGTACACCTTTTGGCCTGGTCGACGGTGCTTGCGGCGTCTTCTTTACCTCCATGGCGGGCGGCGGTGAGCTGGTCATCTCATTGAGACTGATAACGCCGTCCGTGTCTTGACTCGAACTGGAAGCAGATGGGACCGTCTCATCTGACTTCGGTAGCTCCTCTTGGTCAGTATACTTCCGAGACCTGGCAAAGCGCAACGGTAGTGGACGCATCAAAAACGAGACTGCGGCGTGCACACGTTGGGCCTCCTTGGAAGTGCTTGACTCTCGGGGCGGTACCGCTGGCCCCTGGTGCGTAGTGCCCAGCGTGGATGACGAGCCAGATACCGATATCGAGCCTTGCTTCATGCTCTGCTTGGAGCTAGTCCGCAATTTGCTCGCTACGATAGAAAAGCTGGATTCTCGACGCGGTATAGGAGGCTGTTTGCGAAGCATAGCAGAAGGGGGCTTGGACAAGGGTGCCTCCACAATCGTCCTGCCCTGATTCAAGATCACCGTTCCTAGGTTGGACGTTTGGAGTCGAGGCGGAGGTGCGAAACTAGCACGGAAAGGGTGCACACCAGTCGCAAAAGAGTGAGTGTCTGCTTCCTTCGTTACCGCATCTCGCTGCGGCGCAAAGTCAATGGCGCATATGGAAGACGCTTTGATGTCTTCTTTCCCTGGCTCGGATGGTATCGATTCTGAAGAGACATCCGGCAGATCGGTACAAGACTTGAAGGACAGCTCATCGGACGACCCTTGTGCATGGCTACTTCTGGATCGAAGGGCAAGAGGCAGCGGCTTCATGTCATGTTCTGTTGAAGCATCCGTGTGCTCCTCATAATTGCTCTCGTTGGCCGTCTCGATTCGCACCAAAGCGTCGGTCTCGTTCTTATAATCAGATCCCTGATACCCTGCAAGAACATCCGACATACCATCCCCGGTACTATTGCCAGGACTGAGAGACATGTTCGTGGTAGCATGAATCCTAACACCGGGCTCGTTCTGGAAGCCACCGCTATTGGCCGTTGGTATGGAATGCTGGACCGCGAATTCAAGAGTGGACGAGTCGAGGATGCTGGATCCAGTCTGCGATAAGATACTGTGTCGGTTTTCTCCGCGGTCCGCCGAATGCAATACGGCCCCACGAGGTATATCAGATACAAAGTACTCCTTAACAGGTATATCACAAGAATGGGTGACCTCATTGGTCTTCGACAGCGGCAGAGGCCCCGGAGTCAGCGACCTTGGTGTCAGCGACCGTGTTGTCAGCGACTTTGTCAACGACTGCGGTGTCGGAGACGTCGTCAGTGATTGCGGTGTCGGGGACTTTGGCCTTGATAGTGGTATCGGAGACTTTGGCCTTGATTGTAGTGTTGGAGACTTTGGCCTTGAGAGTTGTGTCGGAGACCTTGGAACGGGGGGCTTTCTTGACGGAGATGGAGACTTGCTCGGGAGCGAGGGAGATGGCCCCGAAGAGGTTACTAACTCCATCGAAGACTGGATATCGCCCGTCGTTGAAGCCTCCAGACCTCTTAGGATCAAATTCCTTGTGATGCGGTGAGCTACGGGGGACGCTGGGAGTTCCGCAATGTCGCTTTCGCGAATGCTTCTGGGCTTTGCGCTCGGCCTCGCGTTCGCGCTCGAGATCGAGCTTGAGGTCTTCTCGCAATTTCTCACGGTATTGGATGCGATGTTGTCTAGGTGGGGAGACACGACCTCCATCGACATTGGTCGTGCCTCTTGTCCTAAAAAAGGATCACTCTTCAATGCCGCCCCAGCCGGACGAAACTGTTCGACAATGATTATCTTTCGGTCTATGAAGCCGTCGGGATCAGCATCCGTCCCTGGGTCCGCAGACGCCACAGGTCCGAGCTGGTCACTCGTGTTGTAGTATGGTACTGGAGGATACTCTTCCTGAATAACAAGGCGGTTCGGGTTGGCGGCTTTGAAGACCTTGTTTCTATCGAGGTTTCGGTGCACTTCCATGGAGCTACCATCTTTCGGAGTTGATGGCATAGCCATGTCAGACGACGGCGGGTCTGATTCAGTACGCAAGTTTGTGTTAAAACTGGACATGGAAGCAGGCGCAGACCTCTTGAGACGAGCTTGTTCAGCAGCGATCCGTTGGCGGTGGTCGGCTGGTAAAGGTGGCTGGTATTCATCCGGACGCCTGTGCTCTCTTCGATCTTCTGAACGAGGCTCGCGGGCGGAGTTGCCTGTCATCCTGCGAGACATGAGTTGTCTGGTAGCCGCGTGGTAGAGAGGAAAGTCGTCGTCTTCCACGGGAGGATCTTCAAGGCTCATCGTAGACCGAGAGGATGGATTCTTGGTCCTCATCTGCCCGGGGCCCTGTCCGTTGTGGAAGCCTCGTTGGTCTTGTCCTTGTCCAGCATGCTGCTGCCGATACGTATGATTTGTGTATCCTGGGTTGCCGTAGCCTTGTACCTGGCCAGCATAGGGCAGTCGCTGACCGTCGTAGGTCCGCGGCCCTTGGAAGTGTACTCCGCTGTCGTCGCTCAGGGCGGACTGGACCGATCGCGAGTATGGAACAGGCTGCCTGAAACCACCCCCGGCGGGGTGTGCATAGTATGGGCTTGGGTTCGAAGATCGGGACGCTGGCCGAGGGCGCAAGCTGGGAATAGACCTGTTGCTGGAGAGGCCGTACGCTGGGGGCTGTATGGTATTCGTCATCGAGTGCGAGCGATGCGCGTCCCTGTCGCGGTTGTCTCTTCGGTTGTTGAAAGGCGATGATCCGGTGGCGTTCATCATCGTTGGAGACAGCGTGTCGGCAGTATACACGGGCCCATGGTGTTGCATTGGCTGACGCGGTGCAGAAGAGGAGGAGGGGTAAGAACGGAAGTGCTGCTTGCTACCCCGACTGGAAGTGTTGGACGTGGAAGAAACTTGCGACATCCTGCTGGTCGCGCGCGAACGCAGCGGACGTGGTGCGTTGCTCATGGCAGACAAGTCGTCGAACTTAGGACGGCCGATGCTAACGTCGCCTATCTCGGTCTCGGTGCGGAGCATGGACGTGACGCCGCGGTTAAGAGGTTGAAGGTCTGCACTGGGTGCCCGCGATACGGGTTTACCTGATGCTCGGCTCATGGCAGAGACGTTGGAGGCTCGCGAGTTGCGGCCGCCGCCGTTGGGATCCTGATCAGAGAGCGGCATACTGCTGTCAGCTGCGAAAGTCGCTGGGAGGAGAGCAAGCAAAGGTTGTATGCAGGGCGTGAGCGAAGCTGCTGCGGTGGTGGCTCTCCTGATTACGGCGCTGCCAAAAGATGTGGGAGTTATTGGTATAACCAAAAAGAAGAAGCGATACTGCACAAGGCGGCGAGTATCCAAAGAGACGAAAGCGGGTGACCTTTACACAACCCTCGCCAACATCTCCGCCAAATGGAGAGTGCTGTTGAGTGTGGTGGTGTCGTGGGTGGGGGCAAGGTAGAGGAGACGGAGGGAGCTCGGCGGAGACGTTGTTTTGATAGCGAGACTCGCGCCTCCTTCACGTCCATTACGGCAGAGGCTACCCCTACCCCGCCAGCATCTCGCACAGGAAGGCAGAAACATCAGACACAGAAGGAATACAGAGACGATACAGAAAGGGTCAGTAGCAGAGATGCATATGAGAATGGCCCCTACCTACTTGTGCGTACAGCTTTCCCATACCTACCCCTACGGCGGGCCTACCACCCGTGGCGCCAAACCGGCAGCCAGCAGCCAGCAGCTCTTCGCTTCTCCTTCTCGCACCCCAGCTGCCCACCATGCGCAGGATAGCGCAGCATCCAACAGCAACCCATTCCGAAACTGCTCCCAGCAAGCACACCAGACCACCGCATCACCGACGTCCTCCGCACGACGGCGCCTTCTGCCGCGATGACGTCCGCACACGAAGTTAAAGACATTACACGTTGCTCGTTACCGCGTTACATCTACCAGGGCGAAAATATATACATGCGAAAGCCCCAGGAAGCCATCGAGAACGCTGGGCAGAACCACGGCAAAGACTATGAGATTTGGATTGCGTAATACACAGAAACGCAAAGTCAAAGGGGTATATAGCCTTGCAACGCCAGACAAGAGGACCAAGGACGGGACAAGGGATAACAAAGATCAAACTAGAGGGTATCACTCGGCGATAGGACCTATATCGCCAGATTTCTTCTTGGTGAATAGCCGTTTGAGAGATGAGAAGCTACTTCGTTTGGAAAGTCGCTTGTTCGAAGCATCTGAGAACGTGGACAAAGAGGTTGGTGGTCGGCTTGGCATGTCCGCAGCCTTAGGGGTTTGCTCAGGACGATTGAACGTAGGAGAGCTGGCACCTAGTCGACTCGACATGGAACCTTTCGGCGTACTCAAGTTTCGACTAGGGAAAAGACCAAATTGGGCGGTTTGTCGCGAGGACATGGAGGACACGGAGCGTGGCGATGCGTAGCCCGGTGACACGGCTGAGGCGCCCGACACAGAACAATATGCCGAATCTTTGCCGGTCAAAGGCGGACTGTATTCTCCGTTTTGTGGTTTCGCCGACATGCGTCTCGTTGCTGATGCGCTTTCCTCTGCAGATAGGTTAGATGGCGAAGACACTTTATGCTGGTGCCCCGGAACATGTGTTGCACGACTAGACTCTGCATGCGGTGTCGCTCCGTCACGTTGCTCGTCGTTGCGCCAGGCCTCACGGTAGTACCCGGACTGATTTGCCTGACGTCGTACATCGACGTCTGTGTTGGAAACGGCAGACGCAGAAGACGAGTCTTCGCTCCGTTTGGGCGTCTCTGTGGTGGAATCGGATGCGTTTGTGATCTCGGGCTGCTGCTGCTGTTGTTGATGCTGTTGCTGCTGCGGCCTCGCTCGTAAAGTCGAATGTCGCTGGGGTGTGCCAAAGCTGGCAGGCGTCTCCCTACCGGATGATGATGCGCTCATGAATGGCGGACGTTCGGGTGGGGGGGTTGGAAGAGGTTTGTTGTTGGCAAAGTTTCGAAATGGGCGTGCCTCGCGCGAATTGGACGAATTTCGTGAAGATGTGCGTGTCGCAATCTAGGGCTATTAGCGAAGCTCCAGCTGAGAACATAGCCCACGAAGCGGGTTCGACGCGGATTCTGGCAGCGAACATACCAAACTTCGGCGACTTGCAGCGCCACACCGCTTCTCGATCTCATTGCAATAGCTGCTGACCTGTACGAGCACAACGCCCAGCCTTTCAGCCTTTGCTACGAGGCTTTGCAAGAATTGCGACCAGCCTCCGGTGTTACCACACATGGCTGAATATATGCGCCCAATATCCTCATTGCGGTATGTCCATTCGTCTCCCACATCGCCTAGGTATAGATCGAGCTCCTGGTTGGCTTCGCGAAATACGTTGATGTCGATCAGGTAGTCGTTGAGCAGTTGCGACATGCGCCCAATGGTGCGTTCGATCACGATGTTGCCGTCGAGCAGTTGGGCGCGGTATGAGCGGTCTTCGAGGAGACGATCGAATTCGTTTACGTGTTCCATGGGCACCTTTAGACATTTATGCCGGAACAGCATGTCCTTCATGCTGCTTTCGAGGTCTTCATTCGCCCGCTGCAGGAAACTGTCGAGCTCATTGACATGCTTGAGCAATATGTCGGCGACATCGGCGACGGACTTTTCCAGATGCTGATGCAGCAGGTGGACACCAAAGATGATCTGCGCGACCGTCTTTGTTAGAGGATGAAATTTGCCCTTTGCGTTGCTCCTCCAGTGGCAGTTGTATGTGAAGTTCCACGAGGGCTCAGAGGCATTCTCCTCTCTGCACAGCATTTGCTGTCGCGTCTTAACGCTCTTCTTGGGAATGGCGAAGGGAACGTGCCCCGTTTCGCCAGTGGCGTCGAGCATCGACTCCTCAAAGGGCGCCTGCATAGAGGAGAGAGGGTGTATGGGGAAGGTGGCCGTCATGATGCGTTTGTCTCGCTCGTCTTGCCATTCGTAGGAGTCGCGGTTGTCGAAGCTGCGACGGCCCCTCTGCGATAAGCGTCGAAAAGGAACCATGGCGAGTAGCGAGTGGATGCTACTCCAGCTCGGATTATGGTGCTACAGAAGCCAAAGCCAATGCAAGCCCAAACTCGCAGTTCAAGGATATGGGCTGTGCATAAGCACGAAACACTGGGTTGTCGAGGCCGGGGCGCTGGAGGGTGTATCGTCGTCGGGCCTTCTTAAAGACGCATGGTGCAGGATGGCATTGTGTGTGCAGAGTCTACGCCGCAGGGGATGGAAATGTTGAAGGTGCCGGAGATGGCGGAAGGAAGACTGGACACGGTCCCAAGGTTCAAGGACCCCTTCGGTTCGTCAGTCATCAGGTCACAGGTCACAGATCAGCCTGGGATCTGGCACAGAGACGGGGGGTTTCTGGTCGCCAGGAGGTCTGCAGGTAGTGCAGGAGGCTTGCCCGCAAGCAGGCTGGCGGATGCCTTAGTGCCCGAGACGGTTGGTATCCAGAGGCAGGGCGGGGAAGCCATGGCTACTCTCCGCCATACAGCCTTCACGACTAGGAGCAGACGGGCAAGCCTCAAACAAGAATAAACTTTGGCAGTGCCTATCCCCAGCGGCGCCCTTTACTACAGATATCCGTTTTCTAGACCGCCCGCGGCCTTTAGCTGGCTGCAACGTGTCGAGCAGGTGATTTGGCGGTTTGGCATTTTGGCCGTGGCATCCTCACTGTGTGCGCTAGAAGACGTATTGCAGCCGCCAGCAACACACCCAGGAACGCCCCCAAGCACTCCTATGGCTGCCCTGAGCGACGATCCCGCCATGTCGCCGTTTTCCAACTCGGTCAGGTCAAGTGCCGAGGCCTATCATATCCCGATTGATGTTTTAGCTGCCAAATGGCGCAACGCATAGCAGACGTCATGAATGGGCTCCAACGTGAGTTTACCAAGCGCCACGGTTCCTGGCCGATCTCCGCGGGAAGCTATGGATCCCAAGCTTTGGGATGCACGCGCATAATTACAAACTTGTGCTTGTGCCTGGCAAGCATATTACGGGTCACGAGCATCCAATCACCGGGCACGCGATCGGCAAGCTTCACCCAGCGACCATCACTTCTTCCATCTACCAACCCGTGCAACATGCCTCTGGCGCTGGGCTAGAGAGCGGCTGGCAGCCACCAACAATAGAAAGTTTGATCAAGATGCAGACCAACGTTACAAGAAACAACGGCGCGAACTACCCTCTTGCAACGCTACAGTAGCAAACCACGCAACTCGTGTCCTCCCATCCCGTCGCCGCAACCCGAACCCGACGAACGAGATGTAGCTGTGCCGGACATTATACGCCGCGAAATGCGACTCGTCCTGGATCGGATCAGATGGTTTTGAAGACTGCAGAACGATCCGCGCAGACATACGCGATGGGCAGGACAATACTGGCGGAAGTTGTCAGCGGCTTTTCATGCCGACAGCGCCAGGACCAGATGCTGCGCGAGTCGTACAAGCCTGCAGAAATGTCAACTCGGAGTGTGAGCAAAGTCAAAGTCATCAAACTACACACGCAGATTGGGCAATTGAAGACGCCAGACTCGTTGCTTTTGGAGTTGTTGCCATCCACGCGCGATACTAGCAGCGCAAAGTCGAGACGACGCCAGTTGAGGTCAGACAATACGAGAGCATACAAGTCCCATCACCCAACATCTCTTTGGGTGTGTGAACGGGGTTCTCTTACAACTACATTGACATGGGTTATAGCATCGGAAGCCGAGTAACACCGAGCGATCACAACGCCTCAACCTACTTCTATATCGGATTACCAGCCCCTCCATCGGGCCCAGACATCCACGACCGTATCTCCACCCGCGTCCGAGTCAACCACAAGATACCACCCGAACCCAGCGCCAGCCACACAAGCATGGTTTGGCCAGACCATAACCTTATCCCCGATCGTCAACTCGTTGCATTCGCTCCTATCGCCCTCCCATGTCAAGATACCATGCTCTTGGCTGATGCGTCCAACGATCCATCCCGTCTTGCCCTCTCGCTCGTCGTATACGTGCTTAGCGGAAGCATTGCCTAGTGCAGGCGTAACAATACCCCATCCCGGGTAGGACTTGCAAGGTTCGCGACCCATCGCTAGAGAGCCAGCGGATACTAGAGCTTCAGGCTTCGATCGCTCATTGTATACACTTGTTACTTCGAGTAACATGCGGATACCAATGTTAG